AGGTTTCTGTCTTTCAGTTTCTTGGATCCTTGGATCAATAATCAAGATTCAGGGTTTCTGTCTTTCAGTTTCCTGGATCCTGCACACAGGCAGGCAATTTGGACTTTGAACCCCCCCCATCAGGAAATTCCAAACTTTACCGGACTTTGTACAGTGTTGTCCAATTTTCAATGGCATGAGGATGAAGTGAAAAACAAGGAAATCAGCTGGTCCAAGGAAAAGTTGCATGCCTGTACGTAATGGTGGCTGCAACATGCAACTCTGAGAATTACGCATTCCAGCAGAGGGCTGGAGGAGCCGGAGCATGCATTTATCAGAAAAAACAAATATCTGTAATGAAAAATTTCCAAGGAATGAGTGCAGCCTTTTTCTCTTTTTTTTTTGTAATTTTACTTGAGATTTCTACACACAAGTGCACTTATGGTATAATTTACAGGTGTAATTTGTACAAGATGTCCCATCAAATCAAAACACCACAAATGCTCTCTCTCAAAAAGCCAACCAACAGTCAGTGTTACAAATCTACACGGCAAATCAATGTTGCTTCTACAATCTATGAGACAAAAGATATGGTCCGAAAGTCCAAATTGGGAGTTAATTGTTAGCAAATCCAAGAGGGGAAGTCTGTGGCAGGACTCTACAGCTGACATGCCGAATGCTACCCCCGGGACTAACAGCTACTTGTGTGCAAGCAGGTAGTTGAAAACAAGATTAAAAAAAAAAAGATGGCTTACAAAGTTTGATGAGAAATGAGGTTTGATAGAGGAAATATTTCACATCAACATAGCAGCAACTTGCCCCTGGGCCCAATTTCAGAGGTACGGTAACCAGCACTGTCATACCTCTGTCCTGAATACCACATTCAAGTGACTGGGATATAAAAATGTATGTTACCCTCACCTCTGGACATTAAACATAAGCAATATCACATAATGACAACACAGACTAGTTCCAACCTAATAGTCAAAACCATAATGCAGGGACCAAACCAGATTATTCATTGGTACCTCTGCTTTTTTTCACTGTACAGTTGATAAACTATACAGTACCGAAGTGTGACGTCACTGTGAACCAGAAAGTGCAGTGCAAACGAATGGAGTACGCGCGCGTGTTGGTTCACGCGCTGGTTCTCGCGCTAATGCCTTTTACACACTAATTGTGCGCGTGACGTATTCACTTCGGTACTCTATGGCGGGAGCAGCCTACTTGCACTACAACACAAACAGCTTTTGGCGTGCTGCAATTTTTGTCAATGGCTAATCACATTTTGTAAGTAACTTAACATAATGACTGCTGAGCTTGAAGACATGTTCTCCTCCAATTGGTTTTGAAGAGGTATCGGTAAAGATACTGCTTTTGAGCAGGACACTAGAGACTAATAGGGACCAATACTGCAATGCAGAAAGTCCTGGCCTGTTGCATAACTGTCTGGGTAGTTCCAGACCTTCAGGTGAGGAAATGTTGCAAAGAATTCAAGACAGAGGTATTACAAAACAATCACTGACTGATGTGATGTGGGATATTATGTTTTCACACCTCAGGGGAACATAGCACCCTCAGAGCTGTGAGGCAGTTGGGTGTTAAAAACATCACATCCCACATCATAGCAGTCAATACATTTTAAAATGTCCCACATCACGGTAGTCGACAATACTTTTTTTTAAAGTCAAACCAACGAGTTGAAAACAAACAAGGTGAAACTACGTCCGTAAAACATGATTTAAATCGCTGCAGCGTTAACTTCAAACACTGTGACATGTAGCTTTCCTACTACTCCTGCTGGCTATATGACTGCATGAAGTGGCATAAATGATGTCGCATTCCTTCTCACAAACACACGGCCATTCTACCCAGGACATGCTGCAACACTCAGCAAGATACGAGTAAACAACTCAACTACAACTCCCTCTACAGCATCAGTATTAAATGTCAGTGGCATGCAATCCACAGCTCAGTCTGCTATATTTGCTAGGGCGCCCTCAGGAGGCAAAGCACAAAAGTCAGTCATCACGTAACAGGCTGATAATCGACTTGGTATTAACTTAAGCTATATTGGCAAATTACACCTTTTCGGTTGCCTAGTCTATAGCCTTTTTAAGTGTCAATGATTAAAGTACAAAATAAACATCAAATATTTTTCACAAACAAAACTTTAAACAAACAGGATGGGTTTCCCCCATACAAAATAGAAAATATATTCACCATTTTGTATAATTCCAATGAAAATAGTCTTTCTTTTATTTAACTTTTTTTTTAACACCAGATGTAGCTAGAAGCTACAATCACCACCAACTAATGGATAACCAATACATGCCTGAGAAATAACTGGGTCATTTCTAGCAAGACACCAATAGTTAATCAAAGGCAAAATGGGCACCAGACTCAAGTTTCTGGATGGTTTTGCAAAAGAGGTAGACAGACTCATGTACATGTACACCTATCTGCTGCTCAAGACACATCCTAATGACAACTTGTCTCTTTTCTCCCACTGACAGCCTCCTGTTCAGAAGGAATCCTCTCTGCTGGTTCACGATGCTTGTTTGCTTGGTAGGAACAGGGTTACCAGCCAAGATGCCGTGCAGCAGGCACACTACAGGGCTGGTACTCTGATTTCAGCTCAGTGTATAAGTTCCCTAGCAGCTCCATGAAGCTAGGCAATGGCTACAAATGTATTCCAAAGCATGGGCATCGCTGCCACAGCGTGTACCTTCAGAATGGCTGCAGGTGCCAACTTGAGAAGAGGCAAGAGAAAGGTCGCCAACAAATCTAACAAGTAAACACTTACACTGCACCACAACTTTTAAAAACGTTTTCAACTTCCAGTGGTTTCTGCAGTGAATTGTGAGTTACAGTCATCAACCTGGGCATCACATGTGCAAAAAATAACACTTCTCAGACACGTTTGCTGTATGGACTTACTTTTCAGAGATCAATGGCCCCTAAAGGTTGTCTCGACTGCACCAGACAGGGTTTAGGTTGAATTCTAAGCCCTCCCCAAAAGTCTTAACAATACTGAAGAGACGGTGTTGCCTCAGTGGGCACACCCAAAAATTCAATAATATAATCGTGCTGCTTGCAGGGATCTGAATCCTGAGGTACAAGATGGCCTGCAAACTTCAGACTCTGTTCTCATGGATTTTAGGAAACCATTTATTTTCCCCATTAATTCCTGCTTTTGTACATCAAAGGAGCCTGCACGCTCCAGTAACAAGCTAGTACTTTTCTTTTAAAAAAATTATTTACATAATCATTTACAGATTAGGTTAACATACAGAAGCATATCCTGTGGGTGGTATAATAAGAAAAGAATATACGTATACCTTTGGAAAATATTGATCAAATTGTATGTACACGATTTTTGTGGTTTGGATATCTGCCTTGACTGTGCAAGTAGCTAACATCAAGGTGAATGTGCAAGAGGTTTTTTTCACATCTTTGTTTAAGGGACCTGCAATTCACTGCAGAAAGGCCAAGATTTGTTATATGTCATTCACTTTTCTTCATACATGTAGCTATCCCAATGCTCACTTTGGACACAATCCTTCTTTGTTGTGTTTTTTTTACAGATATGTAGTTTTTTCAGGCCTTGGCCTTAGCACTAGACTGGCATACAGTCTCATAAAACTGCTGCTGGCTAGTAAAATGGACTCTAACTTGCGCCGGCTGACTGGTAAAGAAACCCCAACTTGAAACTGTCATTTGTCTTATTTGTAAAGAATAAACAAAGTTTAAAACCATAAGTTTGATTGTACGGGCTACTGAATCTTCCACTCTAAGTTTTAAAATTGAATAGCATGACTCTGCAGTTTAATGACTGAAAAAAGTACAGTTGAAACAAGCCGGTCAAAGTAAGTTTTGCTAAACAATATCCAGTCAGCCTTTGAAATTCTTGCAGGTTGGTGAAAATAAGTTAACTTGCCAGGCAAGATAGTTCAAATAAAGCGTAAGGTCACGGCCCGCCTATTTAAAAAGAAAATTAATATTTCTGGCAAATAGACTGTTTGAAATCATCGTATCATGCACCCTCCCTCCCCATGGAAAGTTTGAAATGTACACAGCCTATGTACAAGTCACAGTTCATTGGCTTTCAGTGCCTCTCTGAAAAAAGGGCTCCCTGGAAATTTCATCCGAGTTACAGCACTGGTTGCAAGGCTATAAAAAAAAACATGCAGGACAAACAGGTGCTCCTTTTGTTGCCGAGGGTTACAATGTGTCTCTAAATAAAAGTGACATACAGTACATATACGTCAGAATCGCTGGTGAAAACCTTTTGGAAAGGAACTTGTGCCTTTCAATTACAAGCACATAGAGTAGATTCTTGGATATGACCAGCAACCCTCCTTCCCATCCCATCTTCAATAATTCCCCGGGGAAACAGCCGGCGGCTCGTTGGCTGCAAGAGGAGGGACTGCCCCGCCGCCGCTAAACCAGCGGTACAACAGCAGGGCGCACACCCCGAGCCCCAGCCCTAGCCCCAGGCCCAGGTAGCGGAACAGCGCCCTGTGCTTGTGCCACCACTCGCTCTTCTTCTGCTTACTTCGGATCTCGCTGACCTTCTCCTGCAGGCTGCGCTTCTTCTCCTCTCGCCGCCGCCGCCGCAGCTCCATCTCGCTGTGGGGGAGAGCAATCACAACCAAAAAAAAACAGAAGTTGCCACTGGCCACCAATGTTCCTGACTCTTCCCGTTCTTACATACTGCGTGTATGTCCTGGCGCATGCTTCCAATGCACCTGCGGCATACCTCATGCTAAATTCACACTGGGCACCATACTTCTGAAATTGCCAGTCCCCGTGCATACTGATGTAACTTTCATGCACTAGCCCATATTAGTGAACCCCACGTGACAGTGTTCAAGCCAACAAGGATAACGAACCTGCAAGAAGTGTGTTATAAAAAACTGTGTTGTCCTTTAAAAGTGTAGCGATCCGCTGCATGGGTCTATGTACATAATACCAATGATCTTTCTTTGTAAGGATTCCTTTTACTCTCTCTGGCACACATCAAGTAACTTTCAATAAAATCTGTAGTTGATGTTTCAGACAACTGATTTTTGTAAACACATACGAGCACCACTCTATAGCCCCTGTAACATATACATGTATGCATATCTGTTTAGAAATCTTTCCGACAACACGTATGACGGCGTCAGTCATGTTGGACCTCTTTGGGCTCTGGATCGCAATAAGTGATTCCAGGACTGGTTTGCGCTATCCATTAGGCGGGTTCTGGTGTCAGTGAATCAACGACAGATCACCGATTGCAATTTGGATCTGCTTGGAACAAAGCCGTTACAAATGCACAAACAACATCCTTCTCTTTCACGCGCTTTAAACTCCACCAGAACTTTTCCATGGTTTTCGCAAGAAGGAAGGGAAGGCACAGCTCAGCTTCAGTGGCGTATCCAGGTCTTGGGTCCAGGTCAGACAAAATGGATATTTGTCTAAAAACTGACTGTTCAATTGTTGTTATCCATTAAAGAATATGCATCACAACCTCCCCCCCCCCTAATTTTTTTTAATCAATTGCCAACATGTTAGGGGAGAGGGTAAAACTTGGCTTTGCAAACTGACAAACCTAATCTAAAACAGGCACTGATCTTTACTGAAATGAAAATTGTTCAAAATCACCATTAAAACAAATTTAATAGAAAACAAGTCAAAAGTAATATGTATTCTCTGGATCAAAATTTCAATTAAATTAGTGGGATTAACCAAGAGGACAGACTAAAAAAATGGGAAAAAAATACACGTATGAAATTTAGAAAAAATTCTCCATAACACACTTCACATGAACATGTGTATCACGAGTATGTGGAAAGAAACCGTATTGCACATGTGTAATAAATATAACCTGTATAACAAGGTGCGAACAAAATTTCAAGCCCTCCAATGCTAAAATGTCACTTGTAAGACCTGTTGACATTTCCAACACACAATAAGCCCATACAATTTCACAAACAGGTTCAGCAAACCACGGCATTATTACGGTTGGTTTCTGCAAATTAATCTTTCACGTTACCTGGCCACCAACAAATGTCCAACAAAAAAAAAGAGAGACTTGGCCTTCAGGTTATTAAACCAGAGAGAAATCATTTCTAATAGAGAAACTGTTTGTGAGATAGCTGTTTTTCTTTTCGCAAATTGACAGTGGCTGTTAAATGTCAGGGGAAAAATGCCGACTGAGCAAGCATAAAGCATAATTTCATTGACAAGACAACATGTAAAAATAGGACTCCATGCAATGAGTGGATTCCCAGAACAACACAAAGCATACACAAAGGAGACAACTTTGTCCTGCCATGAGATGTTTTAGATGTTTAATTCAGGGGCAATTCAATGCCAAAGTGGAAATTGGTGATGCTTTGACCAACCTCATTACAGTTTATAATTCACATGCATAAAGAAATTTAACACTAAAATTCAAGTCAAAATAACTGGCGGTGCCTACTACTGTTTCATTCCATCTCCTTTTCTGAAAAACTCATTACTGTGTATGAATTACAAATGAGGATTTCCAATTTCCATTTTCACATGAAACTGCCGTCAGGCCTCTGTGAGAATCTTTAATATTGCTCACCTTGTACTGGGGTTGCCGTCGTGGTCATGTGACTTGACGTCATTGGTGTCATCCTGCCTGGCTGTCTTCACGTCACTGCCATCCTGCTCCTCTGGTGAGTGCGGACGCTTTAACTTCCTCGGTAGCGGGGGCGGAGCTTCTTCTTCTCCCTCCTGGTTCAAACAGTGTTAAAAGAGCCCTCTATTGAAACATTCAGTCTGTGGCCGCGAATCAGGGAAGGCAGAAACTAAGGTTATGTATTAGGAGCTAGTTTCAATTCAATTCCATCATTAACTTTTCGGAACCCAACACACAAGAGGGTCCTACACTCTGTTAGAAAGACTTACCAGAGTTTCAGAAGGGTTTTCATTGAGAAAAATTGAAAATCAACTCAGACTGGTCTCTAAACCTTTTGATTTGGGCGGATGTTTTCCAAAAGGTTCCATTCTCCAATCTCAGAAATAAAAACAGCCTTTGCACTGGAGGAGCCTATTAACACTATCGAAGTACATGTACCGGTATTTATAAGTGTACATTATATCTGTCATTCAAAGTCACCAATATAGTATCATTATCCATGCTCATTTAGCTGCATGTAGATTCACATATTTCACTGGAGAATGCTATACAGTGCCTTATGTTACGCATAAGTGAAACTGTTGTACACGTGTATTGCAGCAAATGGAGACACGAAAGTGCTGTATCATTTGGTAGTTTTAGGTATGATTAAGTGCCCATGAGTAATAAATACTGTTTTTCTGGACCATAAATACGAAAAGCTGCAGTATATTCTCAAAATGATGGAATAGCCAGCAAATGCTGGAACTCTGGTATTCCTGATCTGAGTGAGGGAACACAAGGGAAATGGCGCGCAATAATTGGGTTCTTTCCATTCTCCCCAATGAAAGCATAGTTAGTGCCACAAGTCCACAATGTCTGACGTCACTGCCAAGAGAGAGTTACCACAAAACACTTAAAGCCATGCCCACCACAGACATGGCTTCCCCCCCCTCTCTTCCCACACTCACTTCACGAGCTAAGGACACTAGGCCCCTCCCGTCTAGAATGGCCCGGGCTCCAGCCAGGATGGCCAGGTAGCTGAACCGTAGCTGGTCATGGGTCTGAATCAGGCCCATTCGGCACCGCCGCATGTCCAACAGGATCTCCTCCACGCTGACGCCGTCCAAATGGCCTGCTTTCTCTATCTGTGAAAGAGCAAACAGACTTCTCAGTTTGAAGAATCCTGTTTGTGCTCCAGTGCAAATATTACTGAGGAATTAGACAGGTGTAGCTTGAATGCTACTGCAGCTATGCACCCAGCACACAAGTAACCACCTTATGGGGTTCGCTTGTCTGTGGACGAGAATCAGTCATGTACGCTCCATGTCGCACCCACATATGCCAAGTCCCCATATGCAGTACTAAAGGAAACAAAACCAAACAAGCACAAGGGTGTTTCCAATGGTGTGGTTCAAAGTACTTTAAGGTCACAGTTGCTTTATTATGCGAGGCACACTGATGGAGTGGCTAAGCTCAGCAGAGAGCTTTGTTTGTTTGTACAATATATTTGGTTTTAAGAATGTTCTAATTACCAAGGTCAGTTCTAAATATAGGGGTGTCTCTCTCTTGTACCTGGCTTTTGAATTTGGATGCTCTTGGGCTCCATAAGCATGTGGCATACACAAAAACTTTGAAGATCTACATTTTAAAATATTAATTTGACTTCCTGTCCCAAAGGTTGAAAGCTAACAGCATAAAGGGAAATGTTCATACAAGGCTGTAGGCTCTAGAAATCCTTTAGGAGACTGTTCGCCAGCACCCTTGTCACATAAATGATACATGAATCAGTGAATTATTACAACCCAGATTACCAGCATTAATTGCCTGCTTGTAACTACACTACCGATACCTTACAGGCTAAGATCTATAACCAAGCAAATATCTGAAACTGACGATCAACGACACCAGACTCAGAACGGCCACCAACTTCACAAGACTCACCAGCACTAAACATGTGTCCACCAGGCAGAACGTGCCCGACCTTCCAATCCCCGCACTGCAGTGAATGACCGGGGGACCCACGTCCTCTGCCAATGACCCTGTCTGCCGCACATGATGGAGAAACTTCAGGAATGCCTCAGGGGACTTGGGCACGCCAAAATCCGGCCACTTGGTGTAGTGGAGGTGGAGGACCTCATTTGACTCGTTTGTCTGAAAACAAAAAGGGAAATGAACAAAAAACACCAAAAACCTGATTTATTAGTTTCAATGCCAATAAGATGAACGAGCCAAACGCCACTAGCTTGCTGAGCAAAACTACCGACAAATCTCGCCTCTTATGCCATCGTTCCCGTTAAGTTCTTTTGCCAAGGCTGAGATGCCTTTGGACGTTCTGTTAGAAAAATAGCAGGAAAATATACAATGCTCACAAGCAAACACTGCTTATTCTTATGAAGAACGTTCGCTGTCCCTGCTGGGGACAATACAGATAAAATGAATTGGAATATCGAGCACTTCAATCAGGAATGGCCCCTTCTTTTAAGGAACATGACTCCTAAACGAAACTCACAGTGTTCCTTAAAGCAGCATTCCAGTGGAAACAGGAATGGTCAGACACCAGCTTTTGGGGGGCCCCAGGGAACACAATGTCATCTATGGTTGGCCGGTTCTTACTTTTCTGTTTTTGAGTTCCAAGGTGCGGACGGTGTAAAAGGAATGTTCGTCTTCCCTCAGGATGCTGACTTGCAGGTCCGTGTGCTCACATTCTATTGTCTGCAAGCTGCCGGGACTGACGGGGTAATACTCGGCACATTTCCGCTGCACAAGATGAGGACAAAAACCGAAACTGCTTTAAAGGACTGTACGATACAACCACGTCTGGCAGAACCAGAAATCAACTGTAGCAAGAGTTTACTTGCATTCTTTTAAAATAAGAGCAGTTCCCCTTTAAAATCCACGGCTTTAGTTTAGATGTCCACTTCCCCTCTTTTACTGGTGTGTCCCCTGTTTATTCATTGACATGTAAACCCAAGCTTCAGTTCAGCCAGCAGACTACAGCAGTGAAGTGTAACAAATGTGTTCCTTTCCCACCATTTGGTAGTGTGAATCACTCCAGCCCTGTCTACTGTATGGTCACTGATTTCCAGTAATTAAAGTGTATTCCCCTGTGGTCAACTGATCACACTTCGTTAGTTTCAGTTGTGCTTTGCGTTTCAGTTTTATTTGTTGGCCGAAGGTTTCAGTTTATGGTTTCAATCTTTGGCGATGGTCATTTGTTAGTGTTTATTTTAGCTCTTTTGATTGCAAATTATTTGGGTTCAGTCGTTTCAGCTCTTGTTTTGGACATTTTTCTGTTTTTTTCTTTCTGTTACTTACAATGTTTCTCACTTTTGTTTGTTTCAAAATCTGCAATTTGTGTCCTTTGTCTCTTCTGATTTAATTCCTTGCTGCTTTTGGCTTCAAAGCTCCTTATATTGGTCCGATCTGTTTTGGTGTGGCAAAACGCCCTTGTAGCGTACAAGTTTTTCAGCTTTATACACTACCATGGGAGATGGACTAGAATAAAGTTCTAGTACACTGTAAAGCACATTAGCAATAGCACATAATCATCTTGCAGCCGGTTAGGAATGAAAAAAAAATCAACATTTCTGCTGGAAAACTGTGAAGTAACAATTTTGACTCGGAGCATATTTTGTTTCAACTCAAAATCCTGTGAAACTAGACCCAGTATTATCACGACGTGCTGGCAAATTGTCAACAATATCCAGGAGTATCCGGTTTGTAAGTGACTTCCTCACAAAGGTGGACGCGCATCGATTTGCAGGCTCTCATTGGACAATCGCTGAAGTTGCGCATTAACTCCCCGTTCCATGGTTCCATGTAAACGGCGAGTAATGCATGTAACCCTATGTGCAGTACACGTGTGCTATGGGCGTGGTTTAAACTGAAGTGACATCACACTTACGAACCGGATAGACAGTGCGAACAACAGGACGGAGCGGGCGCTTGATAACCGACTACAGAGCTCTCAAACTGTAACTACTTGTCTCCTCTCCACAGATGTAGGTGGATATGTTGGTCGTTTGGCAGCTGCCTGAGGCGCCCTTGTATATACCATTGAATCAACTGTGTTTAATGTCCTCACTGTACAGCGCATGCAGAACATGCCGCATCTCTATCCAATTAAATGAGTAGGTGTAAATGAATATACGTAAATTATTGTTACTATTATATTTGTTAAAACTCACCGTTCCCTTTTCAATGATGTTGTTGAGCATGATGACTGCCTTGCTCTTCTGCTCCCACACCATCTGCCAGAAGTGGCCGATTGTCGTGGGAAGAGGACCCTGATAAATGGACATGTACCGTACATCAAAGAGGGAAAACACTGGTTTACCAAAGCTGAAATCACGTTGTGGCCATCCCGGTCAAAAGCACGGGCATCGGTGGGATTTCTCCAGCAGAGGAGGGAAGGGGGCAACTTATTGTTTCCAGGGGTGACATTTCCAGAGAGAAGGGGCAAAGTGCTCATCAGCTGAGGGCTGATCAGCTATTAAAAGTCCATGTAGGAGGGGGTCAGTTTTGAGGTTTGTACAAGTAAACTGGCGATCTGCACACCAATTCATCTCTTCCCCCCTCCCCTTTCCCTCCCCCTCTCTCCCCCGACAGTATTTGTTTTTCCAAAAAAAAATGGGGGAAGGGGACCCTGTCCCTCTCGCAATGCCCATGTCTGACAGTGAGCTGGGGGGGGAATGGCTTGATTGAGATTACGTTCGCCATTGTGACTTCATGTAGCCCCAGCGGCAGACAGGAAAACTACTGCCAGATTCAGAGAAGGCCTCACAATTGCTCTGTCTTAACAAGGGAAACAAAATCAGAAATGTGAAAATTTTCCAAACTGAATTGTTTGCGGGTTAAGATTTTCCATTGAAAAGTTGATCCAACTTAAATACATGTAAGCCTTTTCACTCCTGCAAAGGAGTCCTATATTACCATACAGCAACCCATTTAACACTGTGGGCACAGGAAAAGATACTGTGTCACGTTGTCCAAGTGTTGTATTTCATTTACTGAACCTTTGTTTTAATCCCAGTGGTCCATCAATCAAGCAGCAAACACATGTAAATGCGCATGCACTGTACGCACACGATGCAGAAAACAGAGTTTGTAATTCCAAAAATAACCAGGGGTGGTATGAATTTCAAGGAGTTGGTAATGACAAAAATTTGTTGAGGTAAGCTGTGCTGTATTTACACAGCGGTACAGTGCATATGGTCTTCAATCTCTAAACATACAAGTTCATGTGCATGTACATTTTGTATTTGACTCAAGGGCAAGTCATATACATGTACATGTAAGCAGTGTTTCTCCTATGTTATGGATTTCTGCCAGAGTTTTAAGCATTTTATACTTGTAAGTTGGCAAGCAGGCCGTGGTTTGAATAAAACAATAGAGCAATTTATCGAATTTTCTTACAAAGTTGTTATTCCCTTCTGAATTCCAAAAAAGGACGGGACAAACTTTACCTGTCAGTTTTGACCTCAAAGTTGATTTTCATTTCGACACAGAAATCACTCTCAGATCTCAATCCAGTTATAGCCTCCTGACTTATACACATGGAAAATTGTTGAGTGCTCGAGGTATGGCAAAAATCAGGTTGTGGAGTGCTCAATGCCTGGCAAAAAACAGGCGGTGGAGTGCTCCAGGTATGGCAAAATCAGGTTGTGGAACATTCAAGGCATGGCAAAAATGTACAACTATCAGGAAAACACTCCCTGGCCTTGTTGAATGTGTTTTGTGCCACTTGGTTTGGAAACAAAATGTCAAATCCAGACTCCTCTGAAATGCAATTGTAAAAATGCCTTTTAGGGCACAAATCAGTGACAAGTGATCACAGCACAGGAAGCCACGTGGCCATATATCCCAACCCCACCAAATGAGTTGCTTGTCGTCAAAAGTCATGTTTAAATGAAAGGCCTTTAAAAGAATCTTGGGCATGAGGTTAACCAGTAGGAACCCTGAACATTTTTCACTCTTACGATGTCTTTCATCAGGATACCAAACTGAGTGATTTTTCCAGCCAAAGAGCTCAGTTTGCTCTTATGAACAAATCTGCTGAAAAATAGTCTTATTATAAGACTCATTCTGTGGGATCCACTTTGCAGACAAGCAGAGACCAAATTTTCTTGGGAGTCAAAATTTCTTATAAACTGGTTAAGAATTACCAACAAAACTCCGTCACAAAACTGCCAAGTTGTTTTTGTTTTGTTTTAGATTTTTGTTTTAGTTCCCATTCTCACTGGCGTCCAGGCCCTGGGCATTCACACACATTGGTCCTTATCAGGAAATGGTGATAGCCTGAGGTCATTCAACTGGGAAATCACCTCCACACTGTCGCGACCTTTTTGGCCACGTCATACAGTTCTAAACGCGGAGCATACATGTACGTGTACACTTACAAGTAAAAAAAACTTATCATCAATGTCATTCACAAATGTAATATGGAGCTAATTAGGGGTCAGAAATTAAGGGTCCAAAAGTGTGACATTTTTGGGTTCCTGTTACATCTGACCTTCGTTATTTGACATGGAAATATCACCGGAATTGATTCATCACTCTTGGAAATTAGAAAACGTTTTCTGAACTTACAACAATCATATGTCAAATGTCACAGGGACACAAAAAAATGGACCCCTACCGGTAATTTCTAGAATTACCCACATGTACACTTGTTAGAGTACATGTACACTACCCTACCACACTAACAGACCTGTGCAAAGTGACGCCTGCTGGGCACATCCATGCTTGTGTACACAAACTATGGTAAATGTTGTGAAGATTTTGCACAGCTATCGGCACATCTGTGTGACAGTGTGTACTGATGCGGTCACATGTGAAGCGTTTTCAAAATGCTCCCATTGCAACTTGAATCATTCTCCTGGACTGAAATTTCGACTGAATGTCCCTTATATGAAACACTTCAATTTGCAGTTCACATTCAAAATTTGTCCTTTTTGAGCGATTTCCAAATACCAGTTTCGTGAAAATCCTTGTGGAGACCTATTCACCCCATTCTCCTGGGTCTCCACAAGGCACCATATTTCAAAACAGGAGAACAAAGCCATGTCTCCACAAGGACACAAATTTTGGAATGTGTGTATCTCTATACCTATCTGTAGTGTACATGTACTTCCATACTGCATTTAGAGTACTATCATTTGGGATACATGTCATCTTATTTCATTACGTTCCACAAATATATGCATGAATTCAAAATGGCTACACTCAGAAGGCACCAAGACTTCTACGAGCTGGAATGACAAATGAGCGAACAACATGTTGTAGTAATTGAATGTGTAGCTTAGTGACATACATTCACATGTACATGTATGTGATCTATCAACCAGCCCCGCGGTTGAAAACAAAGGGTTTGAATGTTTTTCCCTCTGAAACCAAAACTCGTCCCTTGTCGTAAAATAAGGAAGAACAACTAGTTTTTTTAATTTCAATTTTTTTCCAAGAACCGTCTGTGTCGGCCTCACAAAACCAAACACTCCATAGATCAAACATCAATGGAATGCTTGCCAGTACATTTGTACTTTTAGTTTCTGTGGCTTCAATTAGATGTTTTTTTTACATGTATATTACCAAATTTTCTTTAATATAAAAATAATCTTGAATAGGAAATCAGACAAATTCACTTCTGAAATACAGGTATTTCAAAAGCTCTCCATCCAACTTTCTTCTGCTCATAATTGCAACCATGAATAAATGAAAGTTCCACAAACAAATCTGTGCGATTTTTGTTTTGATAGCAGGAAAAATTGTTCTTTAGCTTTAAACTCGGGCAGATACTGTTGGAGTCAATGAACTTCACACTTCACACTCGTAGTTGAATGTAGCATAGTGCACAGAGTACAATTAACTGTAAACCCACAGGAGATTGGGGCTTACATGTATATGTACATCATGTACTTTCATGGGAGTAATTTTTAAGGGTATCAAGTGTACATGCACTTATCCACCTTCTCACTTCACATTTCATTAAGTAGCGTACCTACAAATTTCCAAGAATCTCTCAGTGATAATGAAATTTGCAGCACAGCCAGAGATACAATATTTATCGTAAATGGCAAAAACACAGGCCTGCGGTCTCCTTAGCCATTCAGTTGAGAGGCTCCGTGTGCGTACAACGTGCATGTAGCTACACAATAAAATTCCCCAATCACATTAGTGGACGAGGCCCGGTGAATTTCCGAGAAAGAGGCTCATTCGAGCCAGACAAACAGAGAAGGCCTGCCGCATACTGCATATCATATACGGTGTGTAACATGAAAGGTGCATCCCTGGAATGGAGGCTGCACCAGGGAGCTATGACAGGTGTGTACATGTACATGTAACCCAGGGCTACATGTGTAAATGGTCTATGCATAGGACAGCTGCAACCGGGAGTGGAGCAAAATCCACCCAGAATGATGGTGAACATGTACAATACAGGCTACAGTACTAATGTATGTCAGCACACTGTAAAGATCACAACTTTACAACACTCAACACTACTTATAGACACGTATAGTTAAAAAATCTCAACTTTCGACAGATAAAGTGCATGAGTGAACAACAAATCATATTTTTTCCCTGAAGAAGCCAAACATTAAGTGTGTAATGCAAGTATCGTATTTTCCCACAGACAGCCTGTAGATGTTATTACAAGCACATTATTTCACTTTACAACATAAAGTACATAGGAATAATGCTAATAACACCCATCTGCAAGAACAGTCAAACACTAGGCCACAAACTAAATGTACACATGTATGCATACATGTACATGTACAGTACACTCTACGATGCAGAACCAGGTTAAGTACAAAAATGTACATGGGTATGTCTCCATGCAATTCCAATGCAGAAATGTGCAGTGCTGAGGAATGCTTCACCCTTGTAACATGCCACCTTGTACATGTACATGGTATGTACGGGGTGCATGTGTCAGATGGGGCTGGATGGCAGTCTGCCTGTGCGTACAAATGAACATGCACATGTCTGTGGGTAATTCCCATATATTAGGGGTCCAAAAGTGTGACATTTTCAAGTCCCTGTTACATCTGACCTTTGTTATTTGACCTTTGTTATTTGACATGGAAATATCACCGGAATTGATTTCAAACTATTACTATTTGTTTGGCAGCTAATTTGCATTAATTCATCACTCTTGGAAATTGGAAAATGTGTTCTGAACGTACAAAATCATGTGTCAGATGTGACAGGGACACGAAAAAAAATGGACCCCTAATTTCTGGAATTACCCATGTACCCCATACAATGTCTTGCATTTTTGCTGATGTTGTACAAATACCAGGCCCACACGCATTGTACAGGATCCTTCAACGTGGCAGAGTTCAGTTGTAACATATGCCAATCGGTGCATCATCTCCATGTATTTGCACTTTCTTTCCTTTAATGGGGAGCTACAGTACACCAGGGGGCTGAAAATTACTGGAACAATATTTGTCACACTACATGTACATGTGAAAAATAAAAACAGTGGCAAAAAAAGAAAAAGGAACAAGAAAATATTCCAGCAGTGCGACAAGATTTGTGGTATGGCAAAATATGAGTTACTGAATAAATACAAAATGCTCCCATATTTGTTACTGACTGTACGTACATACTGTACATGTGTATGTGCATGTATCGTACGTGCTACGGTATGAGATCCCTCACATGAAAGTCACAACTTATGGGGACAAAAGGGGAACATCAATCTTAAAGCCCGCTTACAAAATTAGAAGGAAATCCCTCCCTCAAAAAGCATTAGACAGCTTGACACACTTTATCACCAGGACATTTGAAATGAGATACTCCCGGCATGAAATTCATTGTTAGCACTGTACATGTGAACTCTCTCAAAATAAGTTCTCAAATTGTCACACCTACACCATAAAACAAATCTCACGGCAACTAGTTTGCGTTACACTTCCTATTCCTCCATGTGAAATTCTGGAAGTCAGTGCCAATTGAAAGATTTACAACCCTGCTTTAATGATACAAGTTTGGAACATATACTGCCACACGTTTACATGTGCGCTTTCAGTTTCTGTGACGCGGTTTCTCCCTCCCCCCCCCGGTATAAGGATGACCAACGACGCCGCGTTGGGAAACGACAGGGGAAAGGCCCCTACAAAACAGAGAGGGACAAACTCTGCAGAGTTACAGCTGGCAGGGTGGAAACGATACCTGAGTGAGGATGTATCTGCGGTTGGCTCGTTTCTCCGTTACCAGGCTGGCGTTGATGTAATCTGAGGTGCCGTTACAGAGGACTATGCGTGTGTGGTTATCTGGGTGGGGAATTACAAACAGAGAGGCACAAGGGGACGGGAGAGAAAAAGAAAAATGAAGCAATTTGGACGATTTAACTTTGACCTGTGAAAGTAGAATCATTGAGGATTAACATAAAATAATGACACCAATTATAATGACACCAATTGGGTGGAATGAGATGAGAAAGATATGAAGCTTTGCATGTTGTGCTTTGGAAATGAATTTCACTGTTCACAGGAACTGACTGATAATTACATGTACATGTAGCTAAGGATCAATCACTTCTGAAAAATACAAAAACAAAATTGAAACACAGGGATGGCTTTGCAAAACCTTACTCAAGATTTACATAGTTTTATCTGGAAAATTCTGAGGAAGCTTCATTGATCAGGAGAATGGAACTGGCTAGTGGACAGGGCTGTTGGCAGCGTGTTTACAACTGTAAAGATTTCCAAGAATAAGTGTCAATCGAGTCAAGCCCTGTCTCATCTTACGTGGCATCCCTCGGCACCATGGGGGGGGGAGGGACAAATGCTTAGGTAGCAGGAGTACTCATCTGGCACTGCACAGACTGACATATGTACCGGTAAGGTTACTTCTCAACTTCTCAGCATGAAATGGTGACACTCGGTGTAGCGTCAGAAATACTGCAGCTAGAGCTGCACAACAACTATTTGATTCCAAAGTGACTTACAAGGACTGACGTCTCGGTATCTGTTGTACGGTTTGTTGACTTCTTTCTTTGCTTCTGTGGTGCTATAATCATACTGGTGACTTTCAATGTTTATTTTCTGTAGGGAAAGGGAAAAATAAGACAAAGAAATGCTGAGGCAGCATTGACGATGGGCAAGCTTTTAAAATGCTGTACACGTACCTCTCTGCAGAGGTTCAAATTCCAATACAAAAGCAGTAATCCAAGTACTGTTTCTGCTAACTGAATTTCCTCCACTTGCCTAAATTTAACGTCAGAAACTAATTAAAAATCGAACAAAAGTGATTCAATCTGTTATTTTTCAAGCAGTGATAAGAAATATACAGGATACATGCATCTCAGGGTACACATGTACAACGCCTGTGCACATCAAATACTTATCCGCATGCCTGTAGATTGATGTGTGGGCATGAGAAAAGGAACCATACATGTACATACATGTACATGTACGACCTCCATGTAACGGTCACATACCGGGTAATATGGCAAGTGTACATGTAAAGCATTGAGCTGTTCCCACTGGACATTTGAGAGTCCCTGATAACTTACATGTACCATGGCTGGGCAGGAATCTTCCTCGACCACTTTCAGCTCGGTACTTGTACCAGTAACGTTAACATCATGATAGTAATTTTGACAGGAACATCAGTTTACTGCAAGTCCCCACTGAATTAATTGTTTTCATTCTCAGAGTCATTCTACAGGAAAGTTGCATGATGTTGACCGGAAAATGATCCACTGGGAACGAGGCTTTAGTGTGTCCTCAACAAGATTTATTTTCTTTCTAGAATTTCTAATCCTAAAAATTGATTCACCAGTAGATTTATTTGTCAATAATTACGTAATGAGGAAGTTCCTGTTGAAAGTGGCTTTTACTTTCCAATGATCTCTAACTGCATTACAGACATGCACGTTCCTGTATACCGGTACACGTACAGTTCAGATCTTTTGCACAACAAATTGTCTTTGACAGTAGTCATTGGAACAGGAAATATATTAATTTCTTTGGTCATTTATAGGATTTCTAGATTATTTCTCAAAAATCGACATAATCTTACACTACCGGTACCATGTGTTTTTACCATTTTTCTATTATGCTGCAAACTACCATACGTGTATGTGACCCGCTCTGCAAAAAAGGGTAATAAGTCGCGCAATTCCAATATGTTATGGCCTGTTCTATTTGGAGAGGGGAAAATGTCTTCAAAGATGTGATTTTGTGTTTTTCCCTCTATTAGCTTGAATAACATTTAGGCCTATGTTTTCAGAATTTGTGACTACAAACATGGATACTGATGAATAAAGATGAAAAAATGATCATTCAGTAGGAAATCCTACACAGCATTGTGTTTCCAAGTGCTACACTTTCTGAGCTTTTTCTCAAAAAGTGCTTTTATTGAATCCGAAAGTGTGGATACATACAAATGTCTATCTCTGGAACGCAGTGCACTACAGAGGTCATTCATAAATCAAATTGTAGCTTTTGATGTACTCAATCCAGCCATATCAAAAACTGATAACCTGAATCTGGCGACTTATTACCCATTTTTCTAGAGCCGGTCACAGATATATTACTAGCACAACTAGTCATTATTGTACATGTACCTCCGAAGCAGATTTCTTTTATTGGTACATGTACACGTACAATGTACATTTCAGTTTTAAAAAGATAACTACATGTAGTTTTAATGTTAATAATTTTTATTACTTTTGAGCATTTGTCAACAACACAATATTTCTGCACTGACTACTGTACACCCTTTCCACAACAAGTGAATCTTTACTGAAAACCTGTGAATTGTAATTTTTTGGGTGATGCTCCATTTGTGAGTAGTGCACCCATACATTTTTGTGCTTTAAAATTAGATTTATGCATTGTGACAGCAAAAATATGGGGAACCACACCAGCAATTCACCCGTACATGTGTAGGCCAAGATGATGAGTTCAGGAAACTTGTAAACTAATACAAATTGAACCAATGCATTCTCCCCTTTGCATTTGAAGACTGTGGTTTTCAACACCCACACAAGGATACTCACCACATAAATACCATACAAACATGTACCAGTACCATTACAGTACAAGGGTCAAAATGTATGGATTACTACAGAATGTAAATTTACGATGCACACTATGATCCCAAATTAAATGAACTAGTTCTCCAGAACAGCTTCCCATGGGAGAATTAAAAGCAGACCTCTTAAAATATGTGAGGATGTTCTGCAAAGGCTTGAGATTCCCCCAAGGCACACCTGTATATAATCACACTGAACACACCTGACTTCATGTGTGCACTGTACACTGCATGTAGTCACGAAGGCCACATAATGCAGTACAGTCTACAGGTGTTGTCTCAATGGACAAGCCTGGGTCAATAGCGAAGTTGCCCCTACTGTGCTGGTTTCCAGGAATCTGCGGCTATTATTAACACACTGAGAGGCCCCAGAGGCTCCTCCACTTCCAACGCTTAGCTGCAGCACTGCATGCAGCGGGGTACGCGTACATGTAGCATGTACATGTACATTCCACATTATTCAACCACAGTCAACAACTTACAGGCTAGGGCACAATACATACTGTACTGTGTACATATGTAGCTCAAGAGCTTATCTGAGAAAAAACTCAATAGCTTATGAAAAAAATCACTGTGGTTGCAACTTTATTTCAGCCTTGCTGGACAGTGTATTGAGGGGTTGTTAACATCTGTTTGGAAAATGTCATTTAAATTAGAAGGTAAACATGCACACAATTATGTACTAGTACATTCACTTGTACCGGTATGTTACATGTGTATGTACATGTATGTACCTAGACTCCCGCACCGTAGTTGTGGGGACATATACTCGACATTTCACCTATTTTGTGGGGACCAAAAATGTTGTAGGGACTCAGAAATGTCCCCACAACTCCCTAACGAAAGAACTTGTCCCCTGAACACGGTGAATGCCTACCCACATGTATATATACATGTAGATGTATGTATTTCAAAGGCTACTAATTACCAGTACATGCTATACATGTAGGTAATTCCAGAGATTAGGGGTCCAAAAGTGTGACATTTGTGCGTCCCTGTTACATCTGACCTTTGTTATTTGACATGGAAATACATGTACATGTACCATACAAGTACTGGTATCACCGGAATTGATTTCCAACTATTATTATTTGTTTGGCAGGTAATTTGTCTTAATTCACCACTCTCGGAAATTGGAAAATGTGTTCTGAACGTACAAAATCATATGTCAGATGTGACAGGGAAACGAAAAATATTGGACCCCTAATTTCTGGAATTACCTACATGTACATATGTACATGTACATGTGCAGTGGGATGTACCAGTATGGTACACATACATGTACATGTAAGGGGTACATGTACCAGTATGTACATGTAAGAACAGGCTTTTTAGTAAGTTCAGTTACAAATGATTGAAATAACTTTTCAAAAATAAACTGTTTTGCTCAATGCCACTCAAAAGCATCTGTGTTTGCTCCGAAATACCAAGAGTGCGCGTCTTAAGATGCACCTATCGGTAGCCTACCGGTACATTGCATATGTGCTTTCACAAAAATTGTTGTCTGAAGTACATGTACATTGTGCATTTGATCATGTCTACATGATGTATGAATGTTTTCTAAAGGACACTTCTCTGCCTGAAGTCAGAACCGCTACATGTACATGTACTCGTACATGTACCACGCCTGAGAGACAAGGCTTCAATTTTCAGCTTCCTTGAGCATGCACACATGATGCACACTTCACTGAGTAGTTGCAAAATATGTGTACCTTTAAAAAAACAAGGATTTTCCTTATTAGAGGATAATTGATTTATGCGATGTATACAATGGATACACAAAACCAAGAACTAAAATAGACTGTTGGAAGAGTTTAATTATGAGTTGTGCGTCAGCTTACATACATGTATCCTAGTACAGCTAAGAAGCATGCTGGGAAGGTCTTTAAGTAGCAACAATGCCTGTCATATGTCATATCTGATACAAAGAAATGCAGGAAGGCCGGAAATGCTGTTGAAAAGCAAAATTTTGAAGTCTCTAAGGCATCTTTCTGCAAGACTGCCAACTCTCACACACCGAGTATGTAAATGTACAGTACATGTATATGCATTGTACATGTACATGTATGTAAGCTGTGTTCACATTGGACCTTTTTGGATTAAGTACATGATGTATACACAGACTGATGTTAATTTGACAGCTGGCAAACTGTCAAAATTGTCAAGTGTTGACTGTTGGTTGTAAGTTTAACAGGGAAAACAAGGTCGTGGAAGAATAACCTTGTCTGTTTTACTTCACAGAAAAGTCCAGTGCAGATGGCCACTGAAATGTAAAACTTAATGAACATTTTGATTGCTAAACTTCATGGGCAAGGGCATGCATGTAATTACACCACGTCTGCTGTTTCCTACACATGCACCCATGCAGTATTCTGCATACAGTACATGTACGTGGCTGACACTGGAGATGCATAATGGACAACTGGACAAATTTCAAGAACAATATTTGGAAAAATGTTGTGCTTGAGCCATATCCGGTGTAAGATGATGAAGTCAATTGGAGGGTGCCCTAGAGAGATTCTGAGAAGGCATGCCACAGCCAGTTTTATGTGTAAGTAACCAAGGGATTTCTGCATGTCACGAGTAATGAATCCATATAAGGATGCACGGAAGGACAACTGCTATGGAATGTTAACAAGCACTCCCACTAATGCTCTACAATGTTTGTCCATGAGAATGCAACTTATAAGAATCAGCCCTGTCATGCCCATAAGGCTTTCCACGAAAAAAACAAAACCACAGAGGTGAAATGAAAGCTGCGAATAAAATATTAAACAAAATGTAATTTGCTTAACCCTTCGATGTCCTTTCCGTACTTGTTCATACCGTAATGTAATGTGCGTACACCAGTACACATGTATGTCTGTTTACATGTATACATTATCAACCACAGTGGCACACATGAACATGTACACGTATGGAATCTGGGTCATCTCGTACCCGGGACAACTCGTACCCAGGTCAACTCGTTCCCAAGTCAACTCATGCCTGAGTCAATTCGTAC